GGATGATGTGATTTTAGATGATGACAAAGACGTCGACTCCCCGCAGGAGCAGGACAACTCTGGGGAGAACGACAAGGATTTTACCTGGATTTCTTAGGGATTATTTTTTGTTTGGGGTTTTGTTTTTTTTTTGTTTCGCTCTGTTGTTTGTAGGGGGAGGGAGGGTGGGGAGGAAGGAGTATGTTGGAAAAACTAAGTAGCCTTGTTGTCGTCCATGTGTGCAAAATAACTCTTGTGTTTTCTAAACAAGTCCTTCTCTGTTCCACTCAGACACTGTCTTAGCAGGGTCGCTTCCAGCGGCACGACTGACTTCGCCTTCCCCCTTTTCCCTTTCCCTTTTCCCCCTGTGACCCCCTGGCCATGGCCACCCCTTCAGCCAAGTCAGCCAGGCTGCCCAAGAGGGAGGTGGAGTCTCTGCAGGTGTGGGGAGGCTGGTGAAGCATGAATCCTCCTCCCCTTCCTACTCCAAACTGAGCACCGGGCGGGTCTTTGTGTTCAAAGCAGGTTTGTTGGTTGGTTGGGTTTTTTTGAACACCTTGTCTGTGCTAAAATCCCAGCAGCAGTGGAATTTCAAGCTAAGGTTGTGAAAGCAGATGGATGGATGTGTTGGAGGGCTTCCCCTGATGATACAGGCCTTTTGCAAAGTTATTTAAAGAGTGTTAATTATTTTTTATGGAGCCAAATAGATCAAAAGGCAAGTCAGACTACAGCCTTACAAATACTTCTCTTGGATTCTTAGCTTCCAGAAGAATCACCATCAAAAAAGAATTGTGACTTTTCTTGGACCTACTGGCATCTTACCCACATCCTGTCTTCCAGCCTTGGTCATCCTCAGGCACTGAAACACATTTGTGCTTCTGGAAGCACCTTTTGCTCTAGAGGACACAATTCTGTACCTGTCATCCTTCTCCACAAATATCTTCACTTTTCTCCCTTTGCTCAGCTGCCTTTTTCACAAATATATGCAAACTGTAGCAAAACCAAGGCGTTCAGCCAAGTGCAGGATGAGCTGGGAATGGCGAGAAGCCCAGGTGAGGAGATCCCAGCAGGGTGGAATCTTCCTGCTCCCATCCCATGGACTTTTGTGGGGCCAGGATTTCACCTGGGTACCTTGTTCTTCCTTGCCAATCTCAACATTCTCATTGATCATGGGTAGGTGTAACACGTACTTAATTCATGACAAAAACCTTCAGCTTTAATTGCACTGGTTCCATGTAAAATTTCCGATAAACCATTTTTCTTTAAATAAGAACCAGGTTTCTCTCCCAGCGTCTCCTCAGACTCTGTGGGGCTGTTCCAGATGGTTGGATTTTCCCTGTTCATATTGGCCACTGTTGCCTTCTTTCAGCTACACCTAAATAACAACAGCAACAGCATGTGTTGGAATTGTCTTATACCTGAGAAACAGCTTGTTCTACCTTCACCTCTTTGCTTCTGGTGCTTTTTAAAATAAATTTTTTAAAAAAGCTGAAGACCTCACTCCATCCTTGCCATCGAGCAATTTTTTACAATGTCTGTGACTGTGGTACCTTGAAACCTGCCATGAAAGACAACCCATTGCCAGAAGCCAAATGACTCAAGGTGCTATTTTCCTTCCTGCAGGCCTGGTGGTCCGTGAGGAAAAGCGTGGTTCCACCCAGCAAAGGAATTAAAAGTACATTGTACAATAAACCCCCACAAAGCAAATAACCTGAAAGGATTTAAGCCACTTGGTGCCAGGATTTCGTGGAGCGTGGTGGAAGCCTGGATCCTGGCACCTGCAGGAGCTGGGCTCTCTCCCTTCCCTCTTCCAGTCGCATCCTGGGTTTATGGCATTCACTCCCTTTCTCTGTCCTCAGTTCCTTGCACACAGTCACTACCTTCTCTGCTTCCATCACCCCAGTTCACCATTGCTTCCATTGGGAGCCTCCAGGCTCCTGCCCCGTGGATTTGGGGGTGTTCAGTGCTGTAGGAATACGGGTCTTTCCTAAAATCCTCGGTGTGGCTCAGCAGGGCCCCACCAGCACTGCTGCTGCTGCCCCTTGGACTGGAGGAGTTAGTGGCACTTGTTGCTTTGGGCAGTGAGCATGGATAACCCTCTTCCTTAAATACGGGAAGAGCAGAGCAGGTCATGTAAGAACATTTTTCTTAACTTGTAAAAATCTCATTTTGCATTTTAGCTTCTTTTCCTCTCCTCCCCTATTTAAGAAGCTGTAAAAACCCACCCAGTATGTCACAATTGGACCTTTATATACCCTTTTCCAATGGTTTTGGGGGGGTCCCAGAGAGTGAGGAGGCTGTTCCCTTATCCTGATTTTGCCCCCCCCCAGAGTGTGGGCTATTTATTGTCATTTACCCTGTAAATACAGAGGGGTTAGGGGGTGCCTGAAGTCCTGAATGTGCAGCCTCACCTGTTGCATGTAGACAAATACATACAGTACTTAAAGATTTATCTTTAGCTTTGCTTTTTATATGTAAAAATCTATTTTAAAGAGAATTTTAAAGCCCAAACGATTCAAACCCCTGGATTTGTGTCACATTCCCTTGGCCCATCCCCTCTAATGCTGGTGTGTGCATCCACCTGAGGAGGAGGAGCAGGTGTGGGCCAAGCCCTCCTCTTCCTCCCTGCCCTTGGGTGACTCAGTTTTATTATCAGAATTATGGAGTGCTGAGCTTTCTTCACAATCCCCTTGGAAATATTTTATTCTTTTCTTTCCTTGCTTTTATTGAAGGTGGGCAGAGAGCCAGGTCGCGCTCAGGAGTGTTTCCAAATTGTGTCACTTTGAGGCTTTTTGAACTGAGGATGCAAAAATAAAAAAGCAAAAAAAAAAAAAAAAAAGGGAGGGAAAAATGGAAAATCCACATAAAACCTAACTTTCCCCATGTCCTAACCTCGCACGTGCTTCTGTCCCACTAACACACACCATGTACCAAATAAAACCCTTCTAACACCTGATGTCTACTGAAGTGCTTTGTTCTGAGGGAGGTGTGCAGAGTTGGAAACACAGGGATTCATCTTTAACCTTCCACGCTCCGATTTGGGTTTGAAAAACAGGAATTTTGGGCATGTTTTTTATGCTGAAACTTTATAAACTTCATCAGTCACTCCAGGTGGTCGTGTCCCTCCAGCTTCTCTCCGGGGTCTCTCGGATATACTGCCTATGCAAACTTCTGCTCTTGGAGATTTAAACAAAACCCCACTAATTCTGCCTGTTCTGCATCTCGTCTTTGTATTCCCTTCAGGGCTTTGTATACTTCACTGAGGTTCCCTTTTTTTAATTTTTTCTAAATATATATATATGTGTGTGTATATATATACAGACTTAGTTCCACAACAATAACTCCCTTAGAGGTAAAACATGGATATACTCCTTCTTGAGAACTTGCAATTCATTTTTTAAAGCATTTGTACATGTAAATGTTCCTCCTTGAATTCCTTGATTACCCTCATTTTTTATTTTAAATCTGAGTGCCAGGAGTAGAGAGAATGGGGCAGAGGGCATCGTCCTGTCTGAGCCCTCTGGAAAACATCCCAGGGATCCATGGACTTGGAGAACATCTTAAAGGACGGAGACAAACAAGGTCCTTATGTTGATTTGGGATTTCCAGAAATATTCTTGAAATCATGAATTCCCCAGTTTTGTGGTTTTTAAGGTCACCCCAAAGCCTCACAGCTGCAGAGCAGCTTTGTGGGGGAGCAGAGGGGGACTTCTCTAATGAAGGTTTGCAAAGTGTTTGTCCTTTCCCTTTTCTTTATTTTTTTTTTTTCCCCTTTAATCAAAAATCAGTTTTTTGGACAAAAAAAAGAGTAATTTTTGTCCGGAAGGAAACCCACTCCAGCATTACTTCCCCTTTTGTTTCCTCTCCCCACTCCTGCCTTTAAACACTCCATTTCCCCCAAGCAAAGCCGTGGCTTTGGGGTGGGTGGCTGCGTTTTGGGGCTGTCCCTGAGCACCTCCCCTCAAAGCTCCCCCTTTTGCACATCACCCTTGAGGAAAGACACTCCATGAAAACAATGCAAAAACTGGAATTTTTTGCAATATTCTAAAAGATAATCTAATTTTTGCTCATTCTGTGACACCTGTGACTCCTATAAAAGCCATAATTAATGGTTCCTTTGATTTTGTAGATCCTGAGTCGTGTTTTGAATTTCAACCTTTTTTTTTAGTCCCCCTAGTCAGAGTGCTGTGTGTATGCTTTCATATATATTTATTTTTCAATGTGCTTTAAACCTGTCTACAAAAATAAAGCTGAACAAACACAAAAAGGATGGTGTTTGAAGATTGTTGATTTTTTTTTTTTGCTGGGAATATTCTATATTATACTGACTTTATATTAATTATTATAAACCTGTGTTTGTATTGAAGATGTGTTTAATATTTTGGGGAGGTTGAGGAGATTTCGTAACCAGAAGTCAGTGGGAGAACATGCTGTGTTGTACTGATTTTCTGTCAATGTAGTTCAGGTAAATCTGATTTTATTTTCTAGTTGCTGCCCAGTTCCTCACCTGCCGGGGGCTGCCCCTCGGATAGAACCTTTGTGATGGGATTTAGCTTAGACATACCTGCAAAAATCAATCAGTTCAATAAATTGGGAAATTGCTGCTACAATTTTGTCTGCTTTTTCTTTTTCTTTTTTTTTTTAAATTATGTAAATATTATTATTTTCCTTCTTGCCCTGTGTGGAAGGATGGGGCAACATGGGGACCAGCAGGGAGCCCTGCTCACCCCCAGGCTGGGGGTGCTGCTTCCTCCACCTTCCCTTCCCCATCCCAAACAGGCACCTGTAGCTCATTCCCTTCCTCCCTGCTGCCTGTTGGTGGCAGTTTCCTTATTTTTTGGGCATTATCTGAAATTAAAGTAACTCCCAGGAGGATGCAGAGACTGATGCCGCCCCTGGGGGATGTGGGATGCAGGAGGGGGGTGACAACAGTGGGTCTGGGGGTGCCAAGAGGCCCGGGGTGCCCACCCTGCCTGTTTTAACAGTAACTAAAGAACAGGATTCATTTAAAAAAATCCAAGTATTTATTTTTTTTTTCCTTTTGGATCTGATACATCACATCCCTGGAGGGGACAAGTGGGGGCACAGCACCAGCCTGACCCACGGGGCCGAAGCAGTGTCCCACCCTGCAAGGGGGGACCCTGCAATGGGGGGTCCCTGATGCAAAGGGAACCTTCCCACAGGGCAGGAGGGTGGCAGGGCCACCACCCCCTGTCCCCTCCCTGCGTGGGGAGAGGAGCAGGCTGCCACGGCCTGGCCAAACCCGAGCTGCTGCCTGGGCTGGAGAATGACAGGACAACAGGGGAGAAAGGGTTTTGAGGGGAAAATTGGGGGGGTTTTTTGGGTAAAAAGGGGGTTTAAAGTGAATGAAACCCCTTGAAAGCCGCCCAGGGCTGGAGGCACCCCGCTGCCGCAGCGCCGCGGCCCGCGCGCTCTCGTGCTGTGGGAGGGAGTAGGTAAAAATACCAATTTTCATATATTTTATTTAAAAAATAAAAACCACACGAAGGAAAAAAAAAAAAAAGTAAAGGAAAACAAAAAGACCCCTCTTTGTGCAGTTTGGCTTAGTGCAAATGGGCGCATTCCTGCAGGCACTTCCCCGGGGCATCGCCCCGGCAGGGGCTCCCCAAAACGAGAGAGAGAAATGACATTACAAAGAGTAAAAACCCCCCTGGGGGGGGCGAGGGGGGGGCAGGCGCCCACCTCTGCCCTGGGCACTGGGGCTGCCCCCCGGGAGCAGGCGGGGGGCAGGAACAGACACCCCCTTTTGCGAGCCCCTGCCGGCCACAGGCACAGCTTATTTCAGCCATGGGGGTCCCCAAACCGGAGCGGGGAGGGGGCCGGGAGCAGCCAGACACCCCCTGCCAGCCCCCCCCGGCAAGGAGCGGGCTTGGATTGATGGATTTAGCTTATTTTCAAAGGGAAAACAAGGCGGGGGGGACAAGCTCCGTGGCAGGGGGGCTGTGTGTGTGCATAAAGCTTTCGGGGGGCCGTTCCCTGAGTCCGGGGGGCGGCCGGGGGGGCGCGAAGGCACCTCGAGTGCAAAATGTGCAAGAAGGAGGGAGCGGCGGGGCTCCGTCAGTCAGTCGAGGAAGCGCTGGCAGGCCTTCTTCCAGCGGCACGCCGTGCACCACATCTCCCGGTGCTCCATGCCGTACACCTTGCGGCACTTCTTGGCCTCCCCCCGCGGCCGCCTGCGGGCACAGGGACAAGTCACAACCGGGGGACACACGCGGGTGACAGGGGACAGGGTGGAGCACGATAGCAATGGCTCACCTGGGCACGGCCGGTGGCTTGGGTGGTGGCGGGGTGGGGACAGTGGGGGACACCGGCGGCCGTGGGGGGGTCCGGCAGCCCTGGAGAGAGAGGACACAACCCTCATCAGACAGGGTGATGAGGGAGTGCAGCAGCCCCACCTCCATCCCTGTCACCCTCCATCCCTGTCCCACTCCATCCCTGTCACCCTCCAACCCTGTCACACTCCATCCCTGTCCCCACTCCATCCCTGTACCCCACCCCATCCCTGTGCCCACCCCATCCCTGACCCACTCCGTCCCTGTCCCCCATCCCTGCCCCCACTCCATCCCTGTACCCCACCCCATCCCTGTCCCACTCCATCCCTATCCCCTCTCCATCTCTGTCCCACCCCGTCCCTGTCCCCACTCCATCCCTATCCCCACCCCATCCCTGTCACCCTCCATCCCTGTCCCACTCCATCCCTGTCCCCACTCCATCCCTGTCCCATCTCCATCCCTGTCCCCTCCATCCCTGTCCCATCTCCATCCCTGTCCCATCTCCATCCCTGTCCCACTCCATCCCTCTCCCCCATCCCTGTCCCCTCCATCCCTGTCCCCCCACCTGGTACGCGTGGTCCGTGTGGACGTGGCAGCGGCCGGGGGGGCCCGGGGGGCTGCAGGGGGAGGCCAGGGCCAGGTCGAGGAGGGGCAGAGGAGCCTCGGGGCCGGGGAAGGCGGGAGGCACCGAGGAGGTGGGAGAGACCGGGGTGAGGCTGGAGAGCCCGTCGGTCAGCGCCTCCACGTCCACGTCCAGCTCCGTGTAGTAGAAATCCTCCTCGCCATCGCTCTGCTCCAGGTCGGCTTTCCGGCTGCAGGGAGAGCAGAGGCTGGCTGGGACACTCTCCCCCAGCACTGCAGGACCCTGCAGGGGGTACCAGGAGGTCTGGGGGTGTCCAGGGGTAGCCCCTGTGCTTACCCAAGGTGCATGGTTCGGATGTGCTTCTGCATCCCTGAGGAGCTGCTGAGGACTTTGCCGCAGCTCTTCCACAAGCACTTGAACATCACCTTGGTGGAGTTCTGCAGGACAGAGGTGTCAGGCTGGCAGCCCCATCCCCATCCTCATCCTCATGCCCAGCCTCATCTCCAGCCCCACTGTCATCCCAGCCCAAATATCATCCTCATTGTCATCCCAAAGTTACCCCCATCATCACCCACATCCCCAAACCCATCTCAGCTCTCATCCCTATGTCCAACCTCATCCTCATCATTCCCACCCCAAATGTCATCCTCCTCCTCATCTCCATCCTCACTATCCCCACTCCCAAACTCACTCACGTACCCAACATCATCCCAGCTGTCATCCCCATCCTTAACCTCATCCTCCTTTTCATCCCCATCCTTACTATTCCCAAAACCCAACTTCACCCCCATCATCATCCCCAGCTTCATCCCACCTTCCTCTTCCGTGGGGTGGGCTCTCCAAAGACGAAGTGGGTGCCATCAGGCTCATCAGGGCCCTCATCCGGCAGTGGGCCAGGCAGGAAGGTGCTGGGGACGTGGCTGGAGAGGGGGGGTGAGGGGGTGGAGGGGGTGGATCGGTCGCTGGAGGGGTCCCAGCTCCAGTCCCCGCTGGTGTTGCTGCTGCTGCTGCAGCTGGAGGACATGGCAGGAGCCTCCTTCCAGACCTCGCTGCCAGGCTCTGGTGAGGAGGAGGAGGAGGAAGAGGAATGTCAGGTCCTGCCACGGGACACATGTCCAGGGATGGGGGGGCCAGGGAGATGCTCTTACCTGGGGCATGAGTGGCCGGTGGGTGCCCAAGCACCAGCGGGCTGGCGGAGAGGCTGGTGAGCACCGCAGCTGCCATCACCTCATCAATGCCCGCCTTGCCCGAGAGCTTCCTGCCAGCGAGAGCAGAGGGGGCTGGGTCAGCACGGACAGGCCCCCTGGGACCCTCTATCACTTTCCCTCCCCCACTGGGATACAGTGGCCTGCATCCACCCCAGGGTGGTTTTTGTGGGGGTACAGAGGTGGCACAAGGTCTCAGTGGTCCCACCGTGCTGGTGGCATCACCAGATGGAAAGGCACCCACGGGTGTCCCACACCCTGCAGCATCCCGAGATGCTGCTGATCCCTCCAGGGATCATCCCAGCAGCTGGCTGGAACTCCCCTGGGCATGGCACAGGCAGCAGACCAGGCAGAGGTGCAGGCAGGCTGCCAGAATGCCACTGCCTGTGCCATGCCAGGGGCAACCCTCCATGACCGTGGGCAGCACCGTGCTGGAGGATACTGGCACCTGCATCCTGCCCACGGACACAGGGATGGCTTGCCTAAGGCCAAACAGTTCCCTGGGGTAGAAAAAAACTATAAAAATTTTAGGCTAAAAAAAAAGCAAGAGGTCAAGAGCACCCACAAGCATTCTGCAAAAGGACAACCTGGTGATGCTCCCAGCTGGGATTCCTCGGAGCTGCCACAGCGGGATAGCCGCTCACTGCCGGGGACCCCGGCGTGGCCAACAGCGGCCAAAGTCCTCCTGCAGAAAACCCCGGCTCCCGCAGCGCGGCCGGTGCCGCCGGGAGGGTGGCGGCCGCGCCAGTGTCCCTACCTGTGCCGGGGCACGGGGATGCACTGCACGGCCGAGTGCAGCGCCAGGCAGCGCTCCAGCCCCGCGTCCAGCGCCCGCAGCACGGCCTCCTGGCTGCCCGGCTCCCGGCGCCGCTCCCCCGGCCAGCCCTCGGGTCCCAGCGGAGCCTGCGGGAGAGAGAGGCAGCGGGCAGCAGGGATCCCCAGGGCCTCGGTGGGATGGGGAGCTGGGTTCGGGGAGCTGGGTTCGGGGAGCTGGCTTCGGGGTGCTGGGTTTGGGGAGTGGGTTCGGGGAGCTGGATCAGGGAGCTGGCTTTGGAGAGCTGGATCAGGGAGCTGGCTTTGGGGAGTTGGATCAGGGAGCTGGGTTTGGGGAGCTGGATCAGGGAGCTGGCTTTGGGGAGTTGGATCAGGGAGCTGGGTTTGGGGAGCTGGATCAGGGAGCTGGCTTTGGGGAGTTGGATCAGGGAGCTGGATCAGGGAGCTGGCTTTGGGGAGTTGGATCAGGGAGCTGGGTTTGGGGAGCTGGGTTCGGGGAGCTGGATCAGGGAGCTGGATCAGCGCCGCCAGGGTGGGCTGTGGGGGGACCCTGCCAGCCACTCCGTAGGGTAAATCCCAAGTGGATCCCGCCAGGTCGCAGTGGGATCCAGCCAGGAGTTCCTTAGCACTCTCCAGGTCCCCCTGTGATGCTGCTGCCAGCACCACCACCCACTGGCTGAGCATCAGCAGGGATCCAGCAGGGATCCAGCTGGGATCTCCAGAGCCAGGAGACGACCTGACACCCTCCTGGCAACGCAGCTCGAAGGCGGCAGCACCCCCACCCCACACCGCGGTGTAGATCCACACCTTATGGATCCACATCCCAAGTTTTTCCCGCTCCGAGCGGATCACCGGGGATCCAGCGGGTATCCCAGAGCTGGGAGCGCCCTCGTGCCTGCCAGGCCAAGCCCGGACACCGAGCACCGGCACCGAGCGGATCCCGCTCCGGGGAGACCCCGCGGGATCCGCACCGAGCGGATCCCGCTGCAAGCGGATCCCGGCTGATCTCCGTGGGGCGGGGCTGGGCGGATCCCGGCGGCGGGAGATCCCTGCAAGATCCCGAAGGGCAGCGATCCCGGAGAGGCGATCCCCGCGGGGGTGCGGCTGCTGTGACCCACCACCGCCCGCCGCGCCCCGCCGCCACAACCCCCCCCCTTTCCCGCCCCACAAAGTTTATCCCATCGCGGCGCCATTTTACCGGCGGGGAAAGTTTCGGGCGGGCCGCTGTCAGCTGTCACCGCCCCCCCGCCGCCTCCCCCGGATCCCACCCCGGTCTCCGCTGCCGCCCCCCCCCGTCACCCCCGCTCACCACCGCGTCCACGCCGCACCACTGGGGCCAGCGTGAAGTCACCCCCCCCCCCTTTTCCCGCCAAACTCGCGGGGCTCCCCAAAAGTTGCGGAGGAGCCCCGAAAGTTCCGGTTTTTGTTGTTACGGCGCGGGATTCTGGGCGCCCACCAAATAAACGCGGGGATGCCGTCACCGCGGAGCATCCCGCAAAAGTCCCGACGGCTCCTGAGGACTTACCGGGGTGAAACACGCAGCGTTAAAATTTGGGGGATTCGCGCAAAAGTGAGGTCCCCCGCCAAATTATAGGGCTGCCGATAAGTTACAGGGGTTCTTCAAAAGTTGCAGAGCTCCTCACAAAGTTATACTCCCCAAAACTTGTAGGCTCCCCCACAAAGTTCTCTCCGAAGTTTTAAATCCCCTATAACTCGCCTGTAGGGCTCCCCCATCAGCTCTAGGTCTTCCCCAAAAGTTACAGTCACCTTCTGCTAGAAAGGGGGTGTGGTCTGGACTTTTGGGGTGTGTGCGCCGTTCCCAGTAGGAAAGAAGTTCCTAATCCTGCCGTCAGTCCTGGCCGCCACGAGGAATCGCTGCCAAAACCCCCCCAGAATGGCCGGGCTGGGTGTGGGTGGCTGCGAGGGGGGCAGGAGGTACCTGGGGTACTGAGGTGCGTGGGGGGTACACGGGGTACACGGGCTCCATGGGGAGCGTGGGCTGCCCATGTGGGATGCATGGAATGCCCTGGGTGCATGGAATGCTTGGAGTGCGCGGGGTGCGGAGATTCTGGGGTGCATTGGGGTGCCCTGGGCGCCTGGGCTGGCAGGGGGTACCTGTAGAGCAGGGGGTATGTGGGGTCCATGTGATACACGGCGTGCGTGTGGTTTTGGGGCGCACGGGGTGTTTGGGGATCTCCGGCTGCCGCCCACCCGTGTTCTGCCCCTCACCTGCCCCAAAACCCGCGCCGGGGGGCGGCGAGGGGCCACCAGCTCCTGCTGCGGCTGGATTGACCGGCCCGCAGCCTGAAGGCCGGGACAGAGTCCGTGCGGCTGTCCCGGATGGTGGCCCCCGCCTGTCCCCCCCGCCTGTCCCCCCGCCTGTCCCCCCGCAGCCCTGGGCTGCCTGGCACGGCTCGGGGGCTGTGGGGCTGCTGGGGCGGCACCCGGGGATCCCCTGCCTGTTCCCAGCCTGGCTCCTGGGGCGCTGGGCCACCCCTCTCCCCCTGCCCTGGTGGAGGTGGGGCTGGAGGTGCCGCTTCCCCCCTGCGCCAACCCCGGCTGCTTTCCTGACAGTGAAAAAAAGCAGCAAACCGGGAAAACCCCCACGAGCCCGACCAAGCGCCCGTTGTCACCCCGGCACGGCCGCCCGCGGGCTCGCCCTGCCCGCCACGGGAACGGGGGACGAGCCGGGAACCGGGACAACCCGGGGCCCCAAAAGCCGCCCGGGCAGCACGGGAGGAGGAGCGCAGCCGCAGCAGCCTTTATTCCCCATCCTGCCCCGTCCCTGGGGAGTCCGATCCCGCAGCCCCCGTCAGCGCAGCCCTGCAGGAGCCTGTGGGGCCCGGGGGAGGCTCCGCGGCCGCCCCCGCTCTGGTTTAATGGTTAACGGCGGAGCTGGAGGCTCCGGCAGCTCCGCTCGGTGTTGTGCAACTCCACGAGCATCGCCCACCCTTGCACGGGGTGCCGCCAGCCCGACCCCCGGCCCGGGCAGGGGGGCTCGGCAAGGGGGGAACCCAAATTTAAAAAGTGGTCATAGCACCTCCTGAGCTGGAAAGGCCATGCGAGGATCATTTAGTCTAACTCCTGGCCCTGCACAGGACTCCCCCAAGGATCACCATCCCTGGGAGATGCCCAAGGGTACCGGGGGTGCCCTTGCCAGGGCTTGGCTGCGGGCTGGACTGGTGCCCCTCGCCCAGCTGGACGTGCAGAGCGAGCCGCGGCCGTGCCCGTGTCCCCCGGCTGCCTGCGGAGCTGCGGAGCTGCCGGGGGACGGGGCCACACGGGGGGAGCTTCAGGGATGGGGGGCTAGGCGGGGCGCGGAGCTGCTGGGGTGCGGGGCTGCTTTGGGTGGAGAGCCCCGTGCTGCCGTACAGCCACAGAGCTGCGCGGGCTGCGGAGCCCTGCGGGGTGCAGGGACATGGAGGGTGCGGATCCTTATGGCACAGAGCGCCCTACAGCGCCAGGCAGGGTGTGACACCGTGCAGGTGTGACACCGTGCAGGTGTGACACCGTGCAGGTGTCGCACCGCGCAGTGTGTAATGCGCCTTGCAGCACCCGCAGCTACATCCCATAGGACGTGCAGCCCCGTTCCGCCTCTCAGGGCTCCTGCTCGCTCCCTCTTGTGGGAACGGCACCGTTCAGCACCGTCCCTCGCAGCGTGACAGAGCCCCGCTCACGTCTGTCCCTCGGGGCTGAGGGGGATACTCCCAGCCCTACCTTCTCCCCTCGCTCTGACCCCAACCCCGACCCTCCCGAGCAGACCCTGAGGCTCCAAGTGGTGTTTGGGACGAATTCTTCATCCAGCAGCCAGATTTCGAGCCTCCAGGCACGTTTTCCAACACCCTCAGGACTGGGCAGTTGTTCTCTTGTTTGAGTCGGGCTCTCCCAGGTCCCACAGGAATTACGGGCAAGGGGGTAGCCCTGCACAGCTTCTGCTGCTGCTGGGGCATATTGGAGACCAAATTTGGCCGCCTCAGCTCCGCTACAGCAGGAGCTTTCCCTTCCCTGGTGCCATTCCAAGCCTGCTTTTCTCCAGGGAGGTGGCACAGTGGTACCCACATCCCCACGGACAGCGCAGGGACCGGAGTGACCCCTCTGATCCCACACGAAGTGATGCTCCTGTGCCTCCAACAGAGCCCAAAACAGCTCCCAGGAGACTCAGGTGGTGCAGGAGGGACCCAGCCGTGAGCCTTGGATGATGGAGAAGGGGAGCAGGGGATGGACGCGGCCGGGGGGAGCCCAGCCGTGCTTGTGGCAGGCTGGCAGCAGGAAGAGCGCGGCAGCCCGGGCACCAGCCGTGCTCTATCAGCGCCCTCATCTCGCAGGGGGATGGGAGAAGCTCTCGAGGGCGGCTGTGGTTTGGCGTCGAGCGCGGTGCTGACGACGCCTGGGGTGCCTCCGGCTCCAACGCCTGCAGCGGGCTTTGCTGAGCGCTGCGTTTTCGGTTTTAATCTCTTCACCTGCCGCGGTGCAGGAGCAGAGATGCTGAGGGAAGGCGCGTCGCTTCCTGCCACACGGCCTGGCACGGCACGGCACGGCACAGGGGCTGCGGGCTCCAGCCAGCACCGGGCCACCGTGCCACGAGGTCGGGCAGCCACTGGCCGTGTGACCGGGCCACCGTCACTGCCTCGTCTCCACCGGGGAGGAGAGGAGGGAAGTTTAAGCTCTGGTACACATCCAGCTCACCCAAGCTTTCTTGGCACAAGGAGGCTGCAGGACCCACGGGAGTGATGGGGAGGTGAGCAAGGAGGCAAATGCTGAGCAAACACAGCCTGGCTTGTACCACAGCCCTGTGCAAGGCTCTGCTCTGGCACAGATCACCCCATACAGCAGCTCTTGGTGGCTGTGTGTCCCCATTTCAGAGGTGCCAAACCACCCAGCCAGGGTGCACTCACAGTCACACGGTGCTCAAAGCTGCTCTCTCAGCACCACCTACACCAGCAGCAGCAGCAAGAGCCCCCAGAAACAGGGATTTAGACTCAGTTTAAGAGTGTAAACTTTCTCTCAGCCTTTTAATGGTGTTTGGGAGAGGGCTGCCCATGGAGACACCCTTGCATGGGTCTGAAAGGGTGGGAATGGAGGATGGAGCAGAGCCCACAGCCCACACCAGTGAAATTTCTGTGTTTTCCTGTGCAGGGTGAGGAGATGGACTCAATGATCCCTTGTGGGTCCTTTCCAACTCTGGGTATTCTATAATTCCATGAAGGTACAGGGCTGACCCCATCTCCCCATAACAAGGGACATTCTGTGAGGGGAGCAAAGCTTCTCAGAGCTTCCTGGGGGCTGGAGGGGGCCCTGGTCTCCCCCAGGCAGTGTGATGAGGACAGAGACCCTCAGTCATGGCAGAAACCTCTTGAGGATCTGATCCTGCAGCCCAAGGCATGGGGCTGGCTGCAGCCCTGTCACCCCCCCACCCCAAAATGTGACTGGTCCCCACCCTGTTCCCATCTTGGTGCCAGTGCCAGCCCTGTCTCACTGGGGTCCCACCCAGCACCTCCAAACTGCCCATCTTGGGACACCCCACCATCAAGCTGCTGGCAGCAGCTGGGCTGGGGTGGGACAAGGACACGGGTAGAAAAGTAACAGAAAATATAAACAGAGAGTGAGTGCAGGGCACAGGGCTTGGTGGGCACAGGGCTGCTGGCACCTGTCCCTTTGGCAACTGACAGTGTCCAGCCAGGTGGGACCCCCCTGTGGCACTGCCCCTGCCCCTGGGTGGGGCTATAGGTTGGTGATGTACACCTCCAGCCCGTTGGCTGCTGAACGGGCAGAGGCTTTCCGGGACCCCCCTGCCCAGACATCCACCACACTCTCATACAGGTTCTCGGGGACACAGGGCTTCCCCGGCTTGTCCCGTTTTGCTGCCTTCTTCCAGTTAATGTCCACAGCCTCATAGTCAGGGTCTGGGCCACGGGCCTGAGCAGGCCATGCTCTGTCATTGATGGACTCGTAACAGGGGTCAGGGGGACCTGGGGCTGCTGAGGCCCCCTCCTGCTGGCAGGGGGGCGGCCACGCAGACCCTGCCTCCTTCACAGCCCTCGGGGTTGATGCAGGGACCTGGGATTTCTTCTTGGTGGCTTTGCACACCGTCGAGTACATCTCCTCCAGCTGCAAAAGGAATTTTTTTTGGGGTGGAGGTTTGGGAGCAATCCCTGCCCACTGCAGGTACCCTCATGATTTTATCCCCCCCATCTTCTGATGGAAGCTATGAGCAGGAGGGGCAATGCCAGGGGCAATGCCAAAGATCCCCCTCCTGGCAGTGGATCCTAACTTATACCCTGCTCCACACACGGGCACAGCCAGGAGAGAGGGAATTAAATGACCCCCCCGTGTGCCCCATCCCTGCTGTCCCCCAGAGTCGTACCTTGGCATGAGGGGCACTGCCTGTGCCATGCTGTGCTCTGGAGGGTCCTGCCACAGCCCCATCCTGCACCTCCACCGACACTGCCTTCTTCACTTTATGGACACAGGCGTAATCGGCTGCCCCATGCACGGCCCGTGGAGGGGACACCTGGGTGCCAGCTGGCACGGGGGGCACCGGGGTGCCCTCTTCCCCCACTGCCAGGCACTCATAGACAGCGTCAGGCACTGGTTTCCGCAGCGGGGTGAAGAGCAGGTTGGAGTAGGTCTGGTCGGGGGCTGGGGAAGTTGCTGGGGGCTCAGGGATGGGGATCTGGGGCAGCTCACGGTGCAGGAGGCCAGAGCTGTGCAGGGATTCCCCTCCAGGGGCCGTGGGACCGGGGAGATCCAGGCTGGCCGGACGCTGGACTGTGGGAGGTAAGAGGAAATGAGGGGATGCAACAGGCACCAACCCCAGTGCCAGCGCTGTGGCACGTCTGTCCGTGACACGATGGGCAGCATGGGGACTGCAGGCATTTGCCAAGGGCCACCAGCCCCTGGGGCTCCCCCTGCTCCACGGCCACTCACCATCATCTCTGACCTTCACCCGGTAGAGCTCGTGCAGCTTCGTGTCTGACTTGCTGAGTGACCGCAGCTGTGTCTGGCAGAGCAGTGCCTGCCAGGGGGGGACAGACACCCTCAGGCTGGGCTGGGAGCCCAGACCACCCCCCAGGGCTGATCCTGCCCCCCAAAACGTGCTCTTACCTCATCCACAAGCTTCACCCCGTCTGGAGCGACCTTCTTCCTGCCCTTCCTGCAGGGAGAAGTGGGGCTGAGCGCAAGGCAGGTGGCAAAGCCAGGGGTGAGGAGCAGGTGTCCCAGGTCCCCAGTGTGGCACTTCCAAAACCCACATCCTGCTCCTTCCCCAGCCCCACAGCAGGCTCTGTGCTGCCTGGGGACATCACAATTGCATCCTGCACCCCACTGAGCTGTGCAGGACACCACTGGCACCACCCTTGGCATTGCCCCTCCTGCTCACAGCTCAGCCCTCTCTGGGCTGCTCCTCTGAGGTTTTTGGCTGTAGGGGCTGTTCCAGAGGGCTGTGACACACAGGATGCAGGATCAAGCCAGGCAGAGCTGCACTGGGGCACAGGTAGGGGTTTGGGGTGAGCAGAGCAGCAGATCCCGTGGTCCCAGCTCAGGATGGCTGCACAGAGTCCCCACATGCAGCCACCAAATGCCACCAAATGAGGGATCCCCAGCCCCACCCAGCCCCAGGAGGGAAAGTGGAGGAGCCGTGGGCAGCACGTACCGTTTGCAGGCAGCACACAGGGTGCCCAGGTAGACCAGGCCACCGAGCAGGGCCAGGGCAGTGCCAGCTGGCAGCAGCCGGGTCCCTGCTGTCCCCTCGCCGCTGGCCGCAGCCATGGGGGAGCCGCTTGCAGCACCACTGCAGGGCTGAGCTCTGAGGAGAGAGAACACGAGCTGGAGTTCAGCCTGGAGCTGCTGGGCTCACCATGCCATGAAATGGTGCTCTGTGACCCCCAGGGCTTAAGGGACCCCTGCAGCACCATCCCCCAGCAGGGGGTCTCTCTGGATGCTCTGGGTGGGGACATTTCACTGGGTGTCCCATTTTTGGGCCAGCAATTGCTGTCCCTAGAGTCACTGTAACGCCTCCAGTGCCCAGCCCTGTATGGGCACTTGGCAGTGGGTGCTCTGTCACCACCAGAGAAATCTTCAGATTTTGGTTCCTTGCAAAAAAAACCAATCCAACAAAACCAGCGGGATTCAAGCTCACAATTTGCCACTGAAATGGTGAAAAGAAGGTGCCCAGGAGCCCTGAAAACCCTCTGGAGACACCCTAGAAATGACAGAGTGCTTTCTGGGGACACTGGGACACCAACCCAGGCTGTGGGATGGGGGTGACACTGCTCCTGAGCACAGGGGAGGCCAGTAAGGACAGGCAGTATGACTCAATTTCCTGGAAATAAGGGGAGCTTCAGCATCTCCTTCCTCCCCCTCCTCATGCCCTGGCCTCAGCAGAACACACCAGGACACCCTCCTTCTGCAATGGATTCACACGTTCCCTGTGCCACCACAACCCCAGGTCTGCAGCCTGAGCACAGCTCTCTGCTGTGACACCAGAGCAGAAAACATCCGTCTTCCCACCCCTTTCCTGTGCCTAAAGCTGTGCCTTGCCCAAACCTTGTCCCTGTGCTTTCCTCAGGGCAAAAACCACCCCCTGCAAACCGCGGCAGCGGCAGAGCAAGCGGTGCAGGGGCAGGAGGGTGTCCTGACACAAGGCACGGGTGCTCCCCAGCCTCTCAGGATCACCTCCTTCCCCAGGAGGCTTTTGGTGACCTCTGTCCCATCATTTCCATGCCACCATCCCCGTCCCTGCTCTGCTGCCAGCACGCTGCAAACCAAAGCAAGAGCTGACAGCCTTCACCTTCACCAGCGCCGACGGCGGCTGCGGCTCCCAGCTCTGCACAGCTCAGCTCTGTGCACCCTGCTCTACAAAGAAAGGCTGGCCTGTCACCAGCACCCAAGAAATGCCTGATCTGAAAGGAGATAGAGGCAGCTCCTGGAGTAAAACACAGCTTCAAGAAGGCATGGTAGCTGATCCAGATGGGGCCAGCAGTAGGGTCCCTGGGCAGAGCTGAGCAGGATCGGCTTCCAGCAGCATGGACGGGAACCCAGAGATCCAGAGGGATGTGCTGAGCACCTCTTACTCACCCTCTTGCATATCTTCATCCGGATGACAAAGCCCAGATGAGCTCTGGTGAGAAGCCACCCTGCCTTGTGTAAATCTGAAAAGCCACTGCAGGCCCACAGGAGCTCCCCTCTCCTCTGCACCCCAGGTCACACAGCAGCATCTTTGGCACATTTTTACCCCAATAACCAGAAGGACTCTGCCCATTTGCAGCACCCTTTTATCTGTGAGCATCCTTTTATCTACGAACTTCCCATGCCTTTGGAAACTGCCCTGACTGAAGCATGAACCCTGGAGAGCAATTATTTCAAGGTAGAAAGTGAGACAGAGAGGTTTTGAGGACTAACCAGGCTGGACAGACTGGCTTAGATCAGAGCTGGGAAGGGGAGGCTGTTCCCTTTCCAACGTTTTAATTAGACAACACAGCTTTTCTGTCTGAGCATACTTTAATTATTGGGATTACCTGCAACAGGGCCGGTGTGTTAGACAGAGCCTGGAGCTCCTCGCTGGGCTCGTTCAGCTCATTAGAGTGATGGAATCATGGGCTGCAGGAGCAGGGCAGAGCTCAGCAGGCTCTGGAGTTGAGCAGACAAAGTCCTAGTGAGATTCAAGGGCTGGGAGCTGGTGTGATGTTGGAATCGAGGTGGGAGCTTTCAGCTTGCTGAGGCAGGCACACACAGGGCAGCTTATCCCAAAGCAGGGGGATTTTCCATCCCTGAATTTTGAAGATTGAAAGGAGAGACTTCCTTGAGTAGGAACAAACACAGAAAAATTCTTCTGGTCTACTTTCTGTAGAGCAGGTCGGTGGTTGCTCCAGGATTTCTGAGCAGTGAAACTGTGCAGTGCATCCTCCTCAGTGCTCAGGCTCAGCAGTCACCAGGAGAAGCCACTTCTTAGGACAACACTTTGGGTCTCCCAAAACCACAGATCTGCCAGCAGAACCCAGTGCTGACTAAAGACACCCAAGAGGGACTGAGCAGGTTTGCAAGGCAAAATCTCAGCCAGACCTTCTGAAACCTACACCTGAATTTCCTGCCAATAAAGTCATCGATCTCCCTGTCCTGGGGCTGCTCCCCGGGGCAGGAGACTCAGCAGACGGCGTTTCGCAAGGCTCTGGCTCCACCAGCCCAGCCCAGGTGGCTTTGAAGGCGAGGGCGGTCACAGTGTTTTGTACGTGTGACAGCACCCACAGCCCTCTGAGCAGGATCACTCCTCCGTGACACCCCAGCACCCTTCAGGCAGATGGGTTGCTGCTACTCCAGCACATGGGAGTTTTTGTGACTCCTACAAAAGGTGCAAATACCTCATCTGGGCGTCCGAAAGCAAGATTAAATTAACTGCAAAACCAAGTGCTGCTGCTGATGATTCTGCCTGGCCTCTGATTCATCTCCCCAGATAAAAACCACACAGTGTTCAGTGCAGGGTGGCAAGGAAAAAGTCTGCAAAGCTACTCAAAGCCTATCTGCACAAAACCAAGAGGAACATTTTGAGCTGATTTCCATCAGCAACTGTGCACACAGCTGCAGCAAACTCTGCTCAGGTACCCCAGGGAGTTGTGCTTCAAAAAAGGCCCGAGAAGCAGAAGTAGATGGATTTTTTTCTTTTCAATTACAAAAAGTGAAAGCTCTGTTTACAGTCAGTTACAACACTGAATCTGCCCAAATTCACTAAAATTAGTGAATTTTAAGACTAGTTCACAAAAGCAGGCATGAGATCTTACCTACTTTGCTTACCTCTGCAATGAGATTTCATGGTCAAACACCTCTGGGGGCTTTTCATTTAGAAAGTGCCAACCATACTTCTAAATGCCAGACCCAAATGCCTGAAAACTTGGATGCAGACTTCTAGCTGCAGTTCTGATCGCTGCTCACATGCTGGAGTGGCTTTTGAGAAAATACAACTTCAAAACTTTCAGGTGAGTGACTGTCAGCCCACACCACAGGGCTCTGCTCGAGGCTGACACCATTTCAGCACTTTTCTTTCTTCCTGCCCTTCCCTGGCTGCTGAACACTCACTTGGGCAGAAAAATGCTCTTTTAAGGCAAGAATAATCTCAAGAGGTTTTCTGCAGAGCTGAGCCACAGCAGGAGACCAGTGGAGAGCTCAGACCTGCTGTTAGAGCAAGCCAGATTCCAAACTGCAGCACGGCTGTATGAAGGAGATGTGTCTTCTCCAGAAGCATCTGCCTGCCACAGTGGTTTCCTTTGCCACAGATGCACTACTTCTACATCGTCTTGGGTTTTCAGAAGACAGCATTTCAGGGACCACACTTTCAAGCCTCCTCACCCAGAGACAGGAGCTCAGCACTTTCCCATTGCACACACCAGCAACACTCCTGTCCCCCTCCTCACAAAACAACTGGAAATTTCCACAATGCCATGCACCTCTGAATTAATTCAGCCCAAGAGCAATTGGCTCCCACTGAGCCTCCAGACTCCAGCCATGGGATCCCAGCAGCACTACCAAGCTCCACCACCTTCTCTTCCCTTCTAAGCCCAGCTACAGAGCACAAAGCGTGGAATGACACAGCTTGGAGCCCAACTCACAGAGCTGAACCCAGCTGAGGCTTCCCAGAGCAGAGCAGGAATCCTGCCTGTCCAGTCTATCCAGCCCCAGGAGCATCTCTGACAATGCTGTGACTTCTGTATACTTTGGGGGGTTTAAGGTATTTCCCCCCCAGTTTATCTGCAGATTCCTCATTTCCCAGGCAGGAAAGCCACCACCACTTACTTGCAGGAGCTCAAAATCCGGTGAGTGTGGAGCGCAGGGATCCAACCATGCTCTCTTCCCTGCCGGCCAGCCTGCAGAATTTCATTTCTTATCCCACGGCAAGTCCCAGTCAGGGCCTCCCGCACATTTCCAACATCCCGATCCGAGCTCTCCCGCTCCCTGAGGAGCAGCCGGCTGTGAGCAGGCACGGAGCACACACACCACAGTTTCCTGGCCTCGGAGGTGGTGGCTTCACCCCGGGGTAGGCTGGGTCTGTGCTGGCTGCCGGGGGGAAGCGCCGCGGCTCCCGGCACACCCGAGCACCCTCTGCCGCGCCCGCTCCCGCCCGGCTCCTCCGGGAGATCCGGGCAATACAAGGAGAGAATGGGGAGCCCCAGATCATCATTACCTTGCAAATGAACAACGCCTTACAAGGAGAGAGGGGAAAAGAAACACCAGCTTTATTCAGCAGGGGTGTGAACTGCGCTGGGTGGGAGGTGGCAGCTGCTGGAATAGGAGTCTGACAAGTCAGGCTGTGGAGATCCCAAGGAAGGGTCAAAATAGGACTTGGCAAAGACACGGGGCTCATACACACAGTTCCTAAAGAGATGATGATGTTAAACAGTCTCAGAGCACAAAATCAACCCCCAAGTTTTCTCTGCCCAGCTCAGCTCTCCAGTCATGGGCCACTTCAGTGAGCATCCACGCTAAGCTGGGCACATTAATCCTTGTCACCACTTAGCACTCAAGTGTGAGAAACAAACAGTCATTTGTGAGGGAAGGGCCATTGTTAAACACTTGAGTTGAGCCTGGTGTGTAAAGAAAACGAATTCAGAACAATGAGGACAGTACAGCCAATTCCAATAGGAACGGATGGATGTTGAAGTGCCTGAGGCAGCCCATGACACATCCCACATCCACCAGGATCACAGCATGATCCAGGTGCTCTTCAGGAGCACACACTCACTCCCACAGACTTCCTGAAGATGTTCATCTTGTTTGGTTTTGCTGTCTCGCTGCGTCTCTGAGGTGTGTCTGCAGCAATGTGAAATCCCACACAACCTGAACAGCTCTGATCATATCTTCTTCAGTCTCAGATTTTCTTGTTCGTTTGGCAGCCTGACCCTGCAAATCAGGCACTGCCCTGCCCAGGCTGACAGCTTGTTTTTAATCTGTTCTTCGGGATAGATAAAAAAGGGGATACTAAAGGAACCTTTTCATTAGAAAAATTACTCACAAAATAAAAGGAAATTGGTTCCTTAAATAAAAAAAAAGGTGTCTTTAAGATACTGGCATGAATTGCAAACTATTTTTGTTTTTAAAAAAAGCCTTTACAATGCAGAAATCCCACAGATGATGAAACCAGCATCTCTGAGGCAAGCACTGGCCACCACCAACACAGAACGTAACCAAGGGGAGAGGACACCCTTCTTGTCCAAACACTTTCCACACGGCAGGGAAGAGCATTTGGCTTGCCTGGCCTGCCTCCAGCCAGCCCCAAGCTCTCCCACTGCAGGGCTGCACACTGGGCTCACACAGATCCTGCTCTTTGTGCTCATCCAGGGCCCAGTCCAACCTGGATCTGGGTCCTGAGGTTTTCTAGTAAAAGGACCCATTGAGCCACCTTGGGCAGAAAAACCCAACTAATGGTGGCAAAAATCACAAGGTTCCCTGTGGAACTGTTCCTGGATAGGTTTGGGAATTCTGTTATGCTGCTGGCTTATTCCCCCAGCTATGGCACTCTACTTGTGGAACCAGACAGCTTTTCCATGCCAAGCCAGGGAGTTTGGCTACAGCATGGCCTGGGATACTCTAACAGTCAGACTGCTGAAATTTGATGCTCCAGGCTGCTGGTTCCACCTCCGAGCTGTCAGTTTTCTGTCTCTTCCTTACACTAGGGCTACAAAGAACTGCTCCCCCCAAAAAATGGAGTTCTCAGATAAATCCCATAGTAAAAACCAGAAGGCAGAGAGCAGCTAAAGCACTTGACCTTTGATGTTTTCACCCAGCCACGGTTGGGACCCTGCCTGCACCTGTGCTGTAACTGTGCACAGACAGAAGCCACAGTTAATGGCAGGATGTGGGGCTGTCCAAGCCCCCTCAGCTGGTGTGTAGCCAGCAGTGTTACCACCTGAGCACCCACAGACTCTGGATGGAGCTGCTACTGCAGGGAATATGAAGGAAAGAAGAGTGCAAGAGAGCAGAGAATTGCATCCCTTGCAGCTAGGCCTCATCCAAGGCCCAGCTCACTGAATGCTTTTGGGGCTGGACGGATGTGCACTACTCCCCCTCCCAGAAGAGCTCAGAGGCATCCAGAAACTGCTGCTTTTTTGCCCAGTTTTAGGCTGAGCAGCCTGAGGCCCAGCAGAGCAGGACAGCTCATCGAGACTCTGAGGCCAGGAGCACCAAAGAACAACTCCTGCAGTCCAACACCTTCCTCAGCACCTAGAACTCAGTCATCTTCTTGTGGGTGTCTGCTTTCTTCTGCTCCCGCTGTAGCCTGGCTTCCTGGGCCTGCAGCTGCCCCAGCTGCTTGTGGGCATCAGCCAGCTTCTCCTCCAGCTGGGCTGCAGCAACGCTGTGCCTGAAAGCAAAAAGCACAGTGGCAATGTCATCCTGCATGGTAAAATCAAAGGCTTATTCCATCCCAGGAGGGTTTGCCCTTTCCTGCAGGATTAGCCCAAGGGACCTGATGAAAGTCATGAATAAGCTGATGCTCAGCACTATCTGGGCTAGAGAATGTCCTCCTGGGATCCTCAACAGCAATGCTGCAGAGGTGGGCATGAGAAGGACTCCAGCACCTTTCCTCAGAGAGCTCCTCTCTTTGCCACAGCCTGAATTCCAGCCAAAGGATCCCAGACACATCTGCCAGTGTCCACGCTGGTCTGAAGCACACACCGAACTCTCTCCTCCACTTCCCCTTAAGTCCCATCCAGCTACATTTCACTTGTTCCTCCCACATCTCATTTCAAGCCCACCCCTCCCCATCAGCA